CTGGAAGAGGCCCTTCTAAACCCTTGAATAGAATATCCTCCCCTACCTGATGCATCCCGTGCCCTGATAACATCCCTGGCACACGCTGTGCTACTTCTCTGCTCAAACCCTTTCTCTCTCTACAGTCCTACTTGGTAGGAACCCCTCTGAGCCCCAAGATACTCCCTGTAGTTCCTACTGGTCAGATCTAGTTTCCTCCTCCTTAAGATGCTGCGTACAAGTCTATAACTTCACAGCCTGCTCGTATGCCGCCTTGGGCGTCCTCCCGGCATCCCCCTGTCTACTTGACCCCAGGTTTGTTTTTCCAAACAAATCAGTCAGTCCCTTGCAAGGAACATAGAAACTGTTCTGAGTGACTGTAAGGCAGGGAGTTGGTTACATAGGTGACAGAGAGGATGGGAAGCAACCCTGAGATTAGCAGCTGTGGGAAGTTTAGCAACATCCTGCCAGTCAAGGGAAGAGGTGGTGATATTAGAGTCTGGGGGCCTGGGTCATCTGGCTGAAGCTAGAACCGCAAAAAGCCTTGCAGCAGCGGCTGGGGCCATGGAGGGAAGCTGTGAGTGCAGACAGCAAGGGAAAGAGAACCCTCGCTGCTCCCTGGCCCTGACCCCCTCAACCTCTCAGCAGTGCTTCCCCTCGACCAAACCCAGGGCCAGCTTGTGGAAACCCAGCCCACAGGGCCAGCCCCTGCAACCCAGAGCTGAGAGGCGAGGACCAGATCTGAGAACGAACAAACCCAGGATCAGCACAACCCAGCCTCCAGGACCTGGCCGCTGCCCACCCCCCTGACTCTCTCCTGTGTGGCCTCCTTCCGTCCCCTCCAGGCACCCTGCTTTCTGCTTGGGTTCCAGCCTGGGCCTTTGTGCTGTACTGGTGCCTCTGCCTGGGGTGCACGTCATCATGGCTGGCCCCTTCTTGCCATCCACGTCTCAGCTCACAAGTCACTACCATCCTGAGGCCCAAGGGATAGTTCAGCACCTCGGCACTGCTGCCCTATCGATCTCTAGCATATACCCTTTTAAAATTTTCTTCAGAGCTTTTGGCACTATGTGGAATTATTTTGTTTATTCAAAGGACTGTTTAAGTACCAATAAGTGTCAGGCACTGAGATACAGCACTGAATAAAACACATAAGAACCCCACCTGCATGGGAATTATATTCTCGTTGAGGAAGACTAGAAATAAATGAAAGTCAGAAGGTGGTACATTCCCAGGAGAAAAATAAAGCAGGGTAACTCTTGGCAATGGGGCTTGCTGTTTCAACAGGATGCTGAGAGGAGGCACCACTGAGAAGATAAGATAATATTTAAAGAAAGGACTGAAGGAAGTGAGGAAGTGAGTCATAGATACCCAGGAGAAGAGCATCCCAGGGACAGGAACAGCCAGCGCAAAGGCTGTAGGCTCAGCAAGTTGAGGCTGAGAGAGTAAGGGGAGGAGTAATAGGAAAGGTGGGGGCTGCTAGACAGCTCTTGTTGGGCCATTCAGGTCCCTGTGAGGACCTTGGCTTTGTGGGGTTGGAGCAGAGAAGTACATCATGTGACTTGGTTTAGCAGGTTCTCACTGGCAGCTGTGTTGGGAATAGACCGAAGGGTATAGAGGTGGAAGGAGAGAGAGCAGCTAGCAGGTGACTGGGAAGTAGTCCACGAGAAACGCGAGTGGTGATGGTGGTGGTGGTGAATATG